GATTCCTGTTCTGTGACCGTCTCCGCTTTGCAGACAGTGAGGAGGGGTTGAAGCAGGTGGTAGAGGCCACACCCTCCACTAGACACTAATTTCAACAGTGTGGCTGTTGATCTGTTACAGCAAATACTTCACAGGTTGGCACTGGGATTTTCTCAAAACAGGATCTCACCTGCCTAATGAGCCTCTCAAGAGTCTAATCAGACAAGGAGCCCCTCTCCAGGGGAGAAACCAGGCATCCGAACAAAACACCTTGCCCACAACCAGATGAAATGCAGTTAAGAATTTAAAGTGAGTTCCAGAGCCCACGGCCTGAGTATCTGAACTGGGCTTGAGCCACCAATAAGGGCTCTGGGGGTGCTTTCAGAGCCTGGGTTCAAGCCCATCAGGTGGTGGTTTTAGGCCACACCTTGGAGTCGGGTCCACAGCAGAGCTACACTCAGGATGTCTGGTCTTTTTCTTGGACCACGAGAACAGCAGAGCCCTGACTGAGCGGGAGCCCGGGGGGATCGCTCTGCTCAGCACCCACGAGGCGGCTGTGCAGGGAGCCCTGGGCAACGTGACTCTTGCACATTGCGGTGCAGACCAGCATTTTCCAAGGGCCTCCTGTGTGCAGGGCCTGCAAACACCCCAACACTGAGTTTCACCACATAACCCTTAGGTGGGGGCATCTCCTCCTTTGTAAACATGATCTCAGCTCATGAAGTAATTGGCCTAAAGCATGCTGGATTAGGGCGACCCTCTTTCTCTACACATGGATGGTCCAATGCTCATTGCCGTGGAAATAAGGCCAGCAAATCTGGGGTCTCAGGGTAGGGACAGCCCTGGATGAGTGGGTCTCCATTCAGGGACCCACTTTCTTCTCTTCTCCAGAAAGAAGGTTTGTAAGGAAACAAACTACTATTTCTGGGATATCAATTACCAAGATCTGTCACTGGGGGTTTCCTTCTCCTGGAAACTGCTCACAACCAAATGTCATCTCTACTTCACATGGCACACCACGGCTAAGGGATCCTGTGTCTGCCCTTCAGGGTCAAGCCTCCAGTTTGCTTCCATCTGGGAATGGCGTCGAGAGAACCCTGACCCAGGGGCTGGCACCCCTGTACACAGCCGCCTCCCATGTAATTGCAGAGATGGGGTGAGGTAAGGACCAGGATGATGCTGGGAGGGAGGGTCCTGCCAGCTGCTCAGCAACACTTGGGCAGGACCGGGTTGGGAGTCAGGGAGGAGGAGCCGGCAGTTTCCTGGAGACAGATGGATTTTCAACAAGGGTGCCAAGACACACCATGGGGAATGAGTGGTCTTATCAACGAGTGGTGTTAGGAAAACTGGATATCCAGGTGCAAAAGAATGAAGTTGAACCCTTGCATATACCATAGAAAAACACTGGCCCCAAATAGGTCACTGTAAGAGCTGACATTCTAAGCATCTTGGAGGAAAACATGGAGTAAATCTTCAAGACCCTGGAGTTGTCAATCGTTCCTTATATGACACCAAAAGAACAAAGAACAACATACAAAATAAATAAATCAAGCTTTATCAGACTTTAAAATTAATGTTCATCAAAGGACACCATCAAGAGAGTAAAGAGACAACCTACAGAACTGGAAAAAAATATTTACAAGTCATGTATCTAGTAAGGGTCAAGAATGCAAAGTTAGAAAGAACACCTCTATAGCAACACAGAAGACAAACAACCCACTTTAAAAATGGTCAAATGGCTTGAATAGACATTTCTAGAAAGAGGATCTACAAATAGACAGCCTAAGGAAAAATGCTCCAATCAAGAGCCTTTAGGGAAATGCTAATAAAGCAACTGGAGCTACCCCTTCTCACTCATTGTTTGGCCTCGGTGTGAAAACAAAAGTATGGCCAGGATTTGGAGAAACTGGAACGAACATACACTGCTGTAGGGACTGTGAAGTGGGTCAAGCGTTTTTGACAGTTCCTTTAAATGTTAAACTAGAGTGACCACATGACCTAGAAATTCCATCTCCAGGTCTTCGTTTCAGCTGTTGCAGATGAACCTGAGTTCTAGAGATCTGCCATTCAACCGTGCGCCTCCAGTTCACAACAGAGTGCTGTGCTGGTAAAATTTGTAAAGAGCATAGTCGCATGTAAGTGTTCTGACTGCAGTGAATAGAAAACAGAAAGAATTGAATACAGGTATTCCAACAAACACTTGTGCACGGGTGTTCATAGAAGCACACTTCACAATAGACAAAAGGTGTCAACAACCCAAGGTCCACCGGCTGATGGACATCTCCATAACCTTGGAATTGTATTCAGCCTTAAAAGGAAAGAAGTACTGATACCTGCTACCATGGGGATGTAGGACAAAAACATAAGAGTGAATAAGCCAGGGGAAAGGAGTCAGACCCAAGCGGTCACATGTTGTAGGATTCCATGACGTGGAACAGACAGAAGAAGGAAACCCTCTGAGGAGAAACCAGACTTGTGTTTGCCAGAGGCTGAGCTGGAGGAGGGAATGGAGGCTGGCTGCCTCGTGTTGGTTTGGGGGATATAAGTCTCTTAGGACTAGTTACAAGTGATGGTGGCAACTTTGTAAATTGACTCAATTTCAGGGAATTCTATACTTGAATATGGTCAGTGTTGTATGAACTCACATCAATCAAATGAAAATCAAGTAAAAATGTCATGCCTCCCTATGGATCCCTTACACCTTAAGGAGTTGCATGGCATTCCTACCGAGTTTATCCAAGGAGAGACTCCCCCCAGGTCTGAATGCCGAGAGCCAGAGGGCTTGGAGACAATCCCACTGGTGGCCCCTTCACTCTTGAGCTTGGTGGAGGTGGAACCCAGGATGAGCATCCTGTACCCGGGGTCCTTCCTGCATCCTGTACCCGGGGTCCTTCCTGCATCCTGTGCCTGGGGTCCTTCCTGCATCCTGTGACTGGGGTCTTTCCTGCATCCTGTACCCGGGGTCCTTCCTGCATCCTGTACCCGGGGTCCTTCCTGCATCCTGTACCCGGGGTCCTTCCTGCATCCTGTGCCCGGGGTCCTTCCTGCATCCTGTGACTGGGGTCCTTCCTGCATCCTGTACCCGGGGTCCTTCCTGCATCCTGTACCCGTGCTCATTTGCCATTCGGCCAAGGAGAAGGTATGGCTTCTGACATCCCTTGTTGGCAGGGAGGGCAGGTGTAGGACTTCCAAGTAGCCCTTCTTACCAAAAGGGCTCCTGTACCACGTGTCTAATCTGATCACAGAGATTTCTCCAGCCTGAGACCTTTCCATGTTTCAGGAACTACTGACGCTCGTGACAGTCCAGTGAGGCCCGTAACAGTGAGGCTGTTAACATTCTCCTATAAGGGCAAAACCAGAGAGGGCATATTACTTGCCCAAAGTAGACGGTCAGTAAGGGCTTCCACTGACACTGTCTCCAGCTCCTGCTGCGGTCCAGGCCTCGGAGGGACAGAGGTGGTGAGGAGGCGCAGGGCACGCGGAGGCCGCGTGGACAGCTGTGGGGACAGCTGGGGCTGTTGTGGAAACAGGCAAGTCAGAGGAAGTGCCCGGAGGCACAGAAGCAGGAACCCAGGCCAGGAGGGAGGGGCGGCCCCCCGGCGAGTCAGAACAGGGTGTGAACACCTCCCCGAGCCCCCTTCAGCCGGGGGGCACCCGTCCTGTGACGCCCCGGACAGGGCAGGGACTGGGGGGCCCGTGCTCTCCCGTCTCGCCCACCCACACAAACCCAGCGGCCCCTCCTCCAGGACCCCGACGGCCCCCACGGGGCTCGGGGCAGCCTCCCCGCCGCCCGCCGCCTTCCCGCCCCTTCCCAGGCCCTGTCTCCCCGCCGCCCCGGGCTCGCCTGTCAGGGCCCCCGCCCCGCACAGACCCCTCCGCAGGCCCCCACCTTCCTCCCCTGACACCCAGGGTTCCGCCCGACAGTCCGGGGAGACCAGGCGGGGCCGAACTCTCCGGCCCAGCAAAGCCGGCTCCTCCCCGCAGACACCGCCCCCCAGCCGACCGCCTCCTCCCCCGACACCCGCGCGCCCTGCGTTGCACGCACACGTGTGTCTCCCCGAGCGGCTCCTGGCCGGCTGGGCACGCAGGCTCCCTGCAGACGTCCTGGACCGCGGCGGCTGCAGGGGCCCAGCTGCAGGGGCGCTTCCCGCCCCCTCCCGCTCGCCGGGGAACGTGCTCGCGGTCTCGGGACGGTGGCGGGGCTGCCCGAGAGACCCGCACGGCCACGGGGAGCAGGGCTCCCCACGAGCGGTGGGGAGGCCGGAGACGACCGGTTCCTCACGAGTGCGGACCCCCCACGCTGCACCCTGCAGGGTGGCGACCTTCCCACACGGCCACCTGCTCACAAGCCCCTGGACTGACACCAGTCCTGTTGCCTGAAAGATGAGACCCGAGGACCCCTGCAGGGGCGCAGACCCTCTGAGACTCACGGGTCTCAGGGGAGGTCACACCCCTGCTGGCCGAGGACGGTGTCCCCTCACTGCACCCGGAGACGGACCCCCGTCCTGTCCTGGCCTCTCCTTCTCCAGAAGGTCCCCACAATCCCGTGTCTATGGCTGCTCCATGTCCACCTGCCATTGGGTCCCTCTGTTCCCTGTGCTCCCTTCTCTGCCGCGCACGACCCACGCAGCCAAAGCGTCACTGTCCCCATGTGTGTGTTCTCTGTGGTCACCGACCAGCCCCGTGCGCCCTGGGAAGGGACTGGTCACCTTCACCAATGAATCGCATGCCAGGACAGGGTCACTGCTCAATAGACGTTGGCTCATTGCCTGGATGGTGGAAGGAAGGAAGCACAGCTGCGTTTACGGAGCCTCAGGAGGGGAAGTGACTTGCTCAAGGTCACACGGGCTCTAAAAGGCAGAGTCACCACTGGAGCAGAAGTTGGGCTGGGCGCCCTGCCCTCTGCGGGTGGTGGAGCTTGTGGGGTCTGGAGGCAGCTCTGCTCTGAAGGGTCCCAGAGCCTGCTGTGGCCTCAGCCCCGTCCCTCAGGGAGCAGAGTGGGGCGCTCCCTCCGAAGAGGCCCCTGGAGAGGAACCCGAGACGAGGCACAGGGGGCTGTCCTTGTCAGCACGCCCTGTGTCCGTCTGTCTGGCCTCGGGGACATGGGGGGCAGCGCCTCGACCACGACACTCGCTGCCCTTCTCTGCCTCGGTGAGCTACGGGGGGACAGAGGAGGGATGGGGCCGCCCTGCCCCCCCAGGCCTGGGCCTGACCCCCCGGGGCGCGGTGGCTCAGTGAGGCAGGACCTTGGGGGGGGCGCTCAGCCCCAGAAGGGACCCCAGGGCTCGGGGCCCAGCCAGGCTGACCTTCCGGGTGGGCCGCTCAGAGGGGGGCTCTCTTCCAGGGCTGTGTTGGGGCCCCCGGGACCGCGTGCAGGCGGGTGAGTCTCCCCGGGCCTCCCGCTTCACGGCCCCTGGGCAGCTGGGAGCACAGGGGCTCTGGGCCCGCGGGGACCCCCCGGGGGGCCTCGAAGTGACAGCCGGGGACGGGGGAAGGGCACTCCCGGACTCCAGGTCTGATTCCTTTCCAGGGACCCTCCCCAAGCCCTCCATCTGGGCTGCCCCGGGCTCCGTGGTCACCAACGGCAGCCCTGTGACCATCCACTGTCAGGGGCCTCCGCAGGCTGTCAGGTACAGTCTGTATAAAGAGTACTCCGGACGCTGGACCCTGGTAGCCCAGGATGAGTTCAGGGACGAGGCCAGTTTCCCCATCGGGCTCATGAGCGCACACCGCGCAGGACGGTACCAGTGTGGGTTTCACAGCAGGAGCGGCTCAGAGTGGAGTGACCCCCTGGACCTGGTGGTGACAGGTGAGGGGAGGCACCAGACCCTCCCCCTGGAGACCCCTCCCCCGGAGATCCCTCCCCCTGGAGACCCTTCCCCAGTGGACCGCCCCCCCTCACCGTCCACACCTCTAACCCGTCTCCGCTCTCTCCCTCAGGAGTGTCTGACCCACCCTCCCTCTCGGCTGACCCAAGCCCTGTGGTGGTGTCAGGAGGGACTGTGTCCCTCAGGTGTAGGTCAGAGGTCACAGGGGGCACTTTCCACCTGCTGAAGGAGGGAGGAGCTGACGGGCCCCAACACATGATCGCGCTGTTCTCTGCTGGGGGGTGGCAGGCCCGCTTCCCTGTGGACCCCATGACCACCTCCCGTGGCGGGACCTACAGATGCTACACTTCTGAAACTAAAAAACCCTACGTGTGGTCACACCCCAGCGGCCCTCTGTCCCTGGAGGTCACAGGTGAGGGGAGGTTGGCTCAGCCCTGGCTATTTCCTGACCCCAGAGTGACCGGCCCGTGGAGGCCTGGGTGGGGGAGGGCTGGGGACACTGGCCCCTGGGGGCCAGAACTATCGGAGATCCGAGAAGGGATTCCTCCAGTGTTTCTGGGTCCCCCCGAGGAACTAATATCATCCCATCACAAACACGTCAGGCTCAGGAGGGGTGAGTGGGAGGGATTCTGAGTTACGAGTCTGGGCTCAGAGGGTCCCATCCTGTCAGGGGGAAGCAGGGGCCCTTCACCGCCATGCAGGGGTCCTGGATGATTTGGGGTGTCTCTGCCTCTGTGACCTCACCGTCCAGCATCTCTAGCCGCACACCCCCAGGACTACACGCTGGGGAACCTCATCCGGTTGGGCATCGCCGCCTTTATCCTGCTGGTTCTCGGGATGCTGCTGGCCCAGGCCGGACACTGCTCGGACACGACCCAAGGCGAAGGCAGGAGTCAGACACAGGCGGTAACACCTCACCCCTGAGGGATCTAGAACCTTGGACATAATCTGATGATACCAAGAGGTTCTGGAGGAAAACCTGGGGCACAAGCCAGGGACCTGTCTGCTGACAATGTCAGAGGTATACACATGGTCTGGGTGCGGGACAGCTTCTGCGCTGCCTCTGTGGAAGCTCTTCTGCAATTACTGTGATGATTTTGCACCCTCCTTGATTGTCCCATCCCCATGGCTAATTTATATTATAATTGGAAGTTTGTCCTACCTTAGCCCCTTCACCTCTTTCCCCCATCCCTGCAAGTCTGCTCTGTTTTGTTTGTTTGGTCGTTTCTCTTGTTTTATAGATTCCATGTATAAGTGAAGTGACGTGGTATTTGTCATTGTTCTCCTGGCTTATTTTACTGAGCATAATACTCTCTAGTTCCATCCACATTATCACAAATGGCAAAATTCCTCTCTTCTTTATGGCTGAGTAATATTCCATTGTGTATAAGCACCACATCTTTACGCATTCATCCCTTGATGGACACTTAGGTTGCTTCCATATCTTGGCTATTGTAAACAATGTTGCAATAAACATAGGGGTGCATGTATCTTTTCAAATTAGTGATTTTGTTTTCTTCAGGCAAATTCCCAGAGGTGGAATTGCTGGTCACATTGTATTTCTGATTAATAGCAACTCCAGTTTGGAACGGATACATAAAAAATCATTCTGTAAAACACTCTTGGGGCTCCTTGAGCCATTCTCTCTTATGAGATGTCACATGGTACAGTCTCTCCAGAAATGACATCTGTTTGAAAGAACACAGTCATGTTTGGAGTGACAGCCAGATAGTGTGTTGGTAAACCGGCTCTAAGGAAATATCATTTTTTTCAAAAGCCCTGAGTTGTGCCATTTGTTCATTTCTTTGGAGAAAATATAGCATGAACCATAATTAGGATGTCTTGCCTCATTTTAGTCTTCAGCGAGGGAGAATTAGGAAAAGCACACCAGGAAGAAGTGGCTTTCTTTTCCTGTGGAATTTCTCCATCAAAAGCCTACGTACAGGACATTCCAAGAACCTGTTCTCTCTCATCTAAGTAAGAAAGGAAGAAACTACAAAATAGTCCAAAAACAACTAATAAAATAGCAGTAGGAGGTCTTCGTATGCCAATAGCCACTTCCCATGCAAACGGTTTATCAAAAGACAGAGAGGCTGAACGAATTAAAAGAAACAAGATCCGACAATACGCTGTGTACAAGACACTCACTGGCTGTCAGACATACCGGGTTGAACGCGAGGGGTGGTTCAGCAGAGTGAATATACCCATTATAAAGTGTGTAAATCCAAGGTGTGTAAGGTGTTGATTTCTGTCCTTTATATATTGCGAAATGATGGCCACATGGTGTTGACTGATATCACCATCACATTACACAATTACCTTTCTAGTGTGTGTGTGTGGTGGGAACATTTAAGACCTACTCTCTTGAAATTAAAGAAGATACCAATAAATGGAAACACATCCCATGCTCACAGATAGGAAGAATAAATATTGTCAAAATGTCCATCCTGCCTAAAGCAATCTACAGATTCAATGCAATTCCTATCAAAATACCAACAGCATTCTTCAACAAACTAGAGAAAATCATCCTAAACTTCATATAGAACCACAAAAGACCTTGAATAGCCAAAGCAATCTTGAGAAGGAAGAATAAAGCACGGGGAATTATGCTCCCCAACTTCAAGCTCCACTACAAAGCCACAGTAATCAAGACAATTTGGTACTGGCTGGCAGAAGAACAGACCCATAGACCGATAGAATAGACTAGAGAGCCCTGATATAAACCCAACCATATATGTTCAACTAATATATGATAAAGGAGCCATGTACATACCATGGGGAAATGACAGCCTCTTCAACAGCTGATGTTGGCAAAACTGGACAGCTACATGCAAGAGAATGAAACTGGATTATTGTCTAACCTCATACACAAAAGTAAACTTGAAATGGATTAAAGACCTGAATGTAAGTCATGAAACCATAAAAGTCTTAGAAGACAACACAGGCAAACATCTCCTGAATATAAGCAGGAGCAACTTCTTCCTGAACGCATCTCCTCAGGCAAGGGAAACAAAAGTAAAAATGAACTCATGGGACTATATCAAACTAAAAAGTTTCTGTATGGCAAAGGACATCATCAACAGAACAAAAAGGCATCCTACAGTATGGGAAAATATATTTGTAAATGACATATCCGACAAGGGGTTAACATCCAAAATATATGAAGAACTTACATGCCTCAACACCCAAAAAGCAAATAAACCAATTAACAAATGGGCAGAAGATATGAAGAGACAGTTCTCCAAAGAAGAAATTCAGATGGCCAACAGGCACATGAAAAGATGCTCCACATCATTATTCATCAGGGAAATGCAAATTAAAACCACAATGAGATATCACCTCACACCAGTAAGGATGGTCACCATCGAAAAGACTAAGAACAACAAACACTGGCGAGGATGCAGAGAAAGGGGAACCCTCCTACACTGCTGGTGGGTATGAAAAACTAGTTCAACCATTGTGGAAAGCAGTAGGGAGGTTCCTCAAAAAACTAAAAATGGAAATACCATTTGACCCAGAAATCCCACTCCTTGGAATTTATCCAAAGAATACAACTTCTCACGGGTAAGATTCCTCAAGGGAGGAACAACCTAAGAGAGGCACAGTCGCAGGGGGGCATCAGGTGAGAAATTGGGGATCAACAGAGGTGAGGCTTAGAACCTCACGCCCCCTATTTTGAAAGAAATCTTCTGCATCCGTGGATGTTTTGTTGCCCTTGTCTAGCTTGGATTAATACTTAGTCTACAGGCACACACCTGATCATCTACATTTGCCCTCTTACAGCACTAAATTATGTTTTCTAACTTTATCTTGCATCTACCTACCACTTCAGCATTTTATTATTATTAATAATAATAATAATAAGGGAGAAATGTGGGATTCACATTTAAATCAAGTATAAAAATCAAACGAATAATCCTATTTGACCTGATTGTTTATAGTTCATGATTCATGATCAAAACCGAAAGTTTCTGTGATATGACTGCCCTTGCACTGTTCACCATGTAAGAACTTATTCACTATGTAAGAACTTGTTCACCACGTAAGAATTTGTTTGTTATGCTCCAGAAGATTGGAGAATGTTGAGAATTAGGCTTGGGGTTGATTAATGATTGTGCATTAAGTCCCCTATACAGAATTTTATTGTTGTTAACAACCATTTGATCAATAAATATGAGAGATGCCCTCTCAAAAAAGAAAAAAACATAAGGCAAAGATGATCAATTTCACCAACTCAGCATTGTAAAGGATTCCCAGCCAGCGCAATAAGGTACATCCATATGAAAATAATGTATGGTTCTGAATCCTAATAATATCATAACGAATACAAACAAAGTAAAAAAAAAAAGAATACAACTTCTCAGATTCAAAAAGACATATACACCCCTATGTTTCTTGCAGCACTTTTTACAGTAGCTAAGATATGGAAGCAACCTAAGTGTCCATCGTAGATGAATGGATAAAGAAAAGGTGGTACATATACACAATGGAATACTATTCAGCCTTAAGAAAGAAACAAATCCTTCCATTTGCAACAACATGGATGGAGCTGGAGGACATTATACTCAGTGAAATAAGCCAGGCAGAGAAAGACAAGTGCCAAAAGATTTCCCTCATTCGTGGAGTATAACAATGAAGCAAAACCGAAGAAACAAAATGGCTGCAGACTCCAAGACTCCAAGAATGTACAAGCGGTTACCAAAGGGGAGCCGTGTGGGAGGGCGGGTGGGGAGGGAGGGAGAAGGGGACTGAGGGGTATTATTTTTAGTACACATGGTGTCGGGGGTCACGGGGAGAACAGAGTAGCACAGAGAAGGGAAATAGTGGATCTGTGGCATCTTGCTGCACTGATGGACAGTGACTGCACTGGGGTGTGGGTTGGGGACTTGATAATATGGGTAAATGTAGTAACCACATTGTTTTTTTCATGTGAGACCTTCATAAGAGTGTATATCAACCATACCTTAATAAAAAATTTTTTTTAAAAAGATGTACTCTTTTAGCAATTTTCAAGTATATAATACCGTATTGTTAACTATAGTCACCATTGACCAATGTCTCCTCATGTCCCCCACCCCAGCCCCTGGTATCAACCATTCTACTCTCTGCTTCTATGAGTTTGACTCTTAGATTCCACATATAAGTGACATCACAATGTTTGTCTTCCTCTGTCTAATTTATTACACATAGTATAATGCCTCCAAGGTCCATCCTTGTAGCAAATGTCAGGATTGCCTTCTTTCTCATGACTAAATATTGTCCCATTGTGGATTCTTTATTTATTCATCCATAGATGGACACTTAGGTTGTTTCCATGTCTTGGCTATTGTCAATAATGCTGCAATGAACACAAAGTGCAGATATCTCTTTGAGATTCTGTTTTCATTTTCTTTGGATATGTACTCAGCAGTGGAATTGCTGGATCAGATATTGGTTCGGTGCTTTTTTTATTTGAGGAACCTCCATACTATTTTCCACAGTGGCTGCACAAATTTATACTCTGGCCAACAGGGCACAAAGGTTGCCTTTTCTCCACATCCTCTCTAACACTTGTTCCCTCCTGTCTGTTGGATGCCAGCCATTATGACAGTGTGAGGCGATACCTCATGGCAGTTCTATTTTTCATTTCTCTGGTGATTAGTGATGTCCAATGTGTTGCTGACGTTTCCACAGTGGACTCCAGAGCCCCCCGCCAGAGCTGTGCTTGTTCATGGAGAGCTGTCCAGCTGCTGATCTGTGCAGAACAGAGGTTGGGGTCTCCCACATCACCGTTTGGAAGATGTGTCATTTATTCTTATATAAGTTTTCTTCTCACCCACCAAATCTTTGAAATGTTTGGTTAACTGTCCAGTTATGTATTGACTTGCATTTTCTGTAGTTCGAAGCTGTGTGGTTAGATACATTTAAGTTTATGAGTGCTAAACCTTGTATGTGAATGGATTATTTAAACATGAAACAATTGTTCCTTATAAACACATTTTTGTTTTATATTCAACTTTGTTGAATACTTGTATAGGTAGCAGCTACTTCCATTAAATAATAATAATAGGACATACTTGATTTAGAAAACGTTTAATGATTTTATTTCAGATGAGATTTTATTGTGAGTACACAAGTGGGTTTTCCTTTTCTGGGGTGGGAGTGCTTTGATCTAACCCTCGGCTAGATCAATTCATCTTTTAATGGATGGTAATAAATTAGTAATTTTGAATTATTACTGCAACTTTAAGTTCTGGTTCATTACGTATCAAGATATCCTGCATTCTCTTAGCTTCCTTTGCGACCTACCAGGCTCCTTGTTGTTTGACTGACACTTAATTGTTTTGTATAATTATACCAAGCATTTTGGAAGGTTTAGATTGTATTGCTAATTTTAGAGAGTTACCTACATCGTTGTTTTGGGAATTTACATTTATAATTTTGAACAATGTCTCACTTCATCCTCTCTTTCAGTAAGAAAAGGGCACAATTACACATTAGCATAACTCCTAGTCCTTGAT